CGCAAAATTAATGGAATTAGGGTTCCAACTCGTTTCACATCCCCCCTATTCTCCAGACTTGGCTCCCTCGGACTACTATTTGTTCCCCAATATGAAGAAATGGCTGGCGGGAAAAAGATTTTATGCAAACGAGGAGGTGATTGCAGAAACAAATGGCTATTTTCAGACTTGGACAAATCCTATTATTCGGAAGGGATCAACAAATTAGAGCAGCGTTGGACGAAGTGTATAAGCCTAAAAGGTGACTATGTTGAAAAATAAAAAAAGTTTACCCCAAAAAATTAAGTAGTTTTTATTTTTGCACGGACTTTTCAAACGACCCTCGTATGTAATGTTTATGTGTTTATGATATGTATATGTATATATATATATATGTACTACATGTAACAGTAAATTTATTTATCATTTTATTTAGTTTTATAATACTTTGATCATTGATTTTTCAAAAAATTTTATGTAACGTCATAAAAATGCCAGAATTGGGCACATATAGGACCCGTAAAAATCCGAATCTAATACTGCAGTGAGCTAATCTCGAATGCGCATGCGCTAAAAAGGCGACCACCACAAAACACGCTGGTTATCCAAGAGATTTTAGAGATTAGAGATTTTAGAAGTCCCACTTTTTCTATTCGTTAGCTAATCATGCGCTGGCAAGGCACGCTTATATAGGGTGTGTTCCGCTTTTACTGGCAGTAAACGTGTTCCGTTTTTTACTTACAGTAAACGTGACGTCATCACAGTACATTGCAACAACTTTTCCACAATTACTGCCAGCATAGCTGTAACAGTGTATAGTATATCGGAACAAATTTCAAGTGTTATCAACATGGCAATGCACGCAATAAATAAACAGGTTAAGTTACAAATTTGCATGATTGCAATAGAAATATTGAACGAAAGCAGTGATACCTCATCTGAGGAAGATGAATTATTAGAATTAATCAATTTAAAAATTTATCGACCACGCGTAAGAAATTATATTAATATGGTACATCAGTATTCAGATATGGAATTTAAAGCTCATTTTCAGTAATGTATATAAATGCAATTAAAATGTCTATTTTTATTATTTTTTTATAATGTTTACGATTTATAATACTCCAAATAAAGTTTTGTAAAAATTAATGTATGAATTATCTGTAATTGTGAATATGCCTGATATCGTTGGCGTTGATAATGGCTACGTTTAATGCCATATCGTACGCTTAGTCCGCGACCTATACGATAGGTGTCTTTGTTTAATGTACAGGATAAACAAAGACATCTATTGTATAGGCCGCGGCCTAAATGCACGGTATAAACGTAACCAATGCCATGTTCGACGCCATATTTCTACTGTAACTGCCTCACCTCGAAAGCTGGGCTCCGTTCAGGAATTACGCCTAGATAACTCTAGGGTGCACTTTTGCTATAATATACGTAACGTAATCTATAGCTTAGAGTTATCTGGGCATAATTCCTGAACGCAGCCCTGCAGTAGTCGCAGTAGCAATATGGCTACCATTTATGACGTCATTGATGTTAGGCCGGAATCAGACTACGCATTGAAGATTGAGATTAAAGATTGAAAAATTCAAATTTGACCAATCGAAACGAAAGGAATTAAAATTTCTTTGTCCTTATTGGTCAAATTTCAATCTTTAATCTTCAATCTCAATCTTCAATGCGTAGTCTGATTCCGGCCTAACTAGATACTGTCGCAGTGCGCTGCGCACCCTGCGCACTAATAATGGAATGATTTTTCAGTACTGCCAGCATTGGCAGTCTATTGCTGGATTCACACTGATTCACACTGCATCCGATTTTCGTCGT